AAAGGCAATCTTCTAATCGGCCCTGGTTAATCTTCTTCAGCCCATCTTTCACGGTTCGAACAGCTCTCTTTGCCAGGCCATTTCACTGGTAATGAAACGCAGCTGTGCACAGGTGAGTTATGTTGTTCTTATTTATGAAATCGGCAAACGCTTGACTTGTGAATTGCGTTCCATTATCTGAAACAAGGGTGCGCGGAATGCCGAACCTGCTGAACAAGCTGCGCAGGCAAGTCATAGTCGAAGATGTGGTCGCCTGCTTCACTGATATGGCTTCAATTCATTTTCTGTGAGCATATACAAGAACAAGGATCATGCTTCCATTTATTGGCCCCGCGAAATCTACATGTACTCTACATGACTAGCTTTCCTGGCATGTCAGCTAGCTAACTGGCAGGGCAGATGCCGGCACTGGTCAATTTCGAATACAGCTTGTGCACCTCGCTGACATTTGTTCGATGTCATTGTCCATTCCAGGCCACCAGAAAGCCGACCGGGCGATTGCCCTCATTGCTGATGGTCCTTGATGAGTTTCGTGGAGCATGTGAAACATTCTATGCTGTGCGCTCTCTGGAATGACAACCCTAAGGCCCCAATAGAGCAAACGGTGGGTCAGGGAAGGCTCGAGTATGCGATTGAAAAAAGGGAGTAATTTTCGTTCTAGTGCTTTAGCACTTGTAGGCCACCCATTCTTTGTGTACTGCACAACCTTGGCCAGCACTGGGTCACTGGCGGTTAGCGCTTGCGATGCCGCTGTCGATACTGCACTCTCCTGTACGGATGCGAGGGCCAAAATGTACTCGGGTGGCTCGACGTCCGCGGTTGGCTAAGAAGTTTCTCGTGGCAACCTACTGAGGGCGTCCGCGTTCAGGAGCTGCTTGCCTTGAGAATACTGCCGCTTGTAGCAGAATCCGCCCAAATAGAGCGCCCAGCGCTGTATACGAGCAGCTGCCAGCGGTGGAGCTGGCCGATCCGATCTCAGCAGGCCCAGGAGCGGCTGGTGGTCTGTGACCAGTATGAATCCTCGTTCTAGAAGATAATCATGGAACTTCATTACTCCAAATACCAGGGCTAACACTTCTCGTTCAAGTTGTGAATAATTTTGTTCTGCTTTCGACAATGTTCTCGAACGGAAGCCCATAGGCTCGTTCCTGTTTCCTTTTGTGTGAAAAAGCACTGCGCCGATGCATCTTTGCGATGCGTTGCACTCTAGTTTTAGCGGCTGTGAAGGGTCGTAGTGCACTAACGCCCGTGCCTGCAGCAAACACCGCTTTGCTTTGTCAAATGCGGTTTGTTGTTCTTCTGTCCAGTCCCAACGTCTGTTTTTTTCCAGTAGCCGATACGATGGAAAAAGCAGAGACAATATGTTTGGCAAAAACTTTGAGTAGAAACCGATCATGCCAAAAAATGAAGGAAGCTCGGCTACATTTTTCGAGCTGGGAGCATCAACGATTGCTTTGATATTTTCTTCTATTGGGTGCAGCCCTTGCTGATCGATTCGATGGCCAAGATAGGTAACAGACACCTGCGGAAATTTGCATTTATCAAGGCGAGAATCCACACTCGATGTGTCGGATTCTCGACTGGCGACAGCCGACAACACAGTTCCGTCGCTGCAAGCGTCTACGCAGTCGGCACCTGCAGCAGAATAGCGGAATTTCAATGATCGTACAAGCCGCATAGCGCGCCTCCGCGCACCGGACTTCCGCACTGACTCCGGCTTCGTTGCCGGCATCGCCCGCAACAACAAAGACGAAAGGCACAGAACTAGTGCAAAAAGAAAAAAAAAACGAGAGAAAATGATCGAAAAGATAGCACAAGGCGAAGCGCGGCTCGTAAGCAGACGTCTGTCGAGGCGGACGGAGCAGAGAGCAACAACGAAGCGAGCGCGCTGGACGCGCCATCGAGAGGAGCGACCGCCCCCGCTGCTGCACAGCAGCCAATGGCGGGCACGCTTTCTCCCGCGAGATACGAATGCGCTGCTCTAGCCAATCAGCGCTCCGCATCGCATCGCAGGAAAACGCCAATAGCATCTCAACTGTGCTGCCGACGCCATTTTGCAAGGCGGCGAACGAGAGAGAAAGAATTCACGGTCAAAACAACACCAAGATGGCGCGGGACGACCGCATGGTCCGGGAATGGCGCGCGCGCGAAGTTTGGTTTGATTTCGGGATTTGCGCCTGTTTTGGACCCCGCGGCGGCCTCGAAAATAGTATTTTTTTTGCACTTTGTGGTTGAATTAGGTGCTGATAATTACAGAATAGGTAGTTTATGAGACATACAACCCAAAAATGTGGTTTTTCAAAAACCGACTTTTTCGCGATTTTTCGGTTTTCAAGGGCCACGTCCCCCCTTAAGTGATATGTTCTCCTTCACCTTTAATGTAATTATTTCTTTTTCTTTTTTCCAGTATGTGCAGGAGCGTGAATATGCGGCATGGTTTCCTTCGCAGTTTACACAGTGTGGCGGTTGTTTGCAATTCTCAGACACGTGGCCTAGGACTCCACATTGTGCACAAGTCTGGCGACCACGACAGGTTTTAGAGCCATGGCCATACCTCTGGCATTGGAAGCAACGACGAGGGTTTGGTACATACGGCCTGATAGATGTCTTCGTGTACCCTGTTTGAATGGAATCTGGTAGTTTACTGGATGCAAACGTGAGTATTAAGTGTTTTGTCAGTATTTCCTTATTATCTCTTCTGATGATAATTCTCTGTACATTATTGACATTTTGGCTCTTCCACCCTTCCAAAAGTTCAGTTTCGGTCAGGCCAAGTAAGTCTGCGTCAGATACCACTCCGCGAGTGATGTTCATACATCTGTGTGGTGTTACGGTGATCGGTACGTCACCAAACGTTGAGAGGCTGTCTAGCTTTACAAGTTGTGCTTTGTCACGAATTTCGAGAAGAAGGTCTCCGCTAGCCATTTTGGTTACTTTGTATCCTGCCCCGAGAGTTTCAATAAGACACCTGGCAACTACGAAAGGAGATACGGTCCTGGCTTGCTTTCCGGTTTTTTCACAGTGAATGACGTGGAAGTGGGGAAAAGTTTCTATTGGCTGGTTGAAGAAATTTATGTCGTTGGTGCGTACCCGCTTTAGGCCGGTTCGATCAGACAGGAATGCTCCATGCATGCCAGTCTTATTTTTGTTCAGCAGCGTTAGCAGCCACCCACCATGGAGCCCAACAAGGGGACGCTGCAAGTTTGCAGGTGCTGAAAGCTTGCAGACGTCAGCCGTACAACACTGCCATAACCCAATGCGCCTAGACCAAGGTAGGCTATTTGCACAGGGTTAACCCTTGCCGCCAGGAAAATTGAAAGTAAACAGAAGAGATAAGTAGACAGGACAGACTAAAAGAGAGAGATAAGGACGAAGTTGTAGGGAGAGAGAGAAAGGAAAAGGCAACTGCTGATTTCCCCTGGGTGGGTCAGCCCAAGGGTGCCGTATACGTGAAGCCGGGGCCAAAGGGGTGTGTTGCCTGTGCCGGGGGGTCTGAAAGGTCCAATCGCCCAGCATCGGCTCAACCCCCAGGATCCCCTTTTCCCCGGACACAGCAAAGCCACGCACGGCTAGGCGTGGGAGGGAGTCAAAACTCCCCTGTTAGCTCGGGTCCATGGTGTCGCTACACACCAAACGTCTACTTGCGCAGGCGCCCCTGCGGGTTGCCGAGTAGACCAACGTTACTAGAACGTTGGAGCAGACGACGCGAAGCGGATGAATACATGTGCGAGGCTAATCGACTTTTTTCTTGGCTAAACTGCCAAGTCGGCTTGACAGTGCTGAAAGCTACTTATGAGACGGAGTATATGTTGCACCCCACCGTGTTTCAAAAGCTCAATTTTGCAAGGTAACATAAATATCGGACTCCTGCGGTACTTGAAAGCAAAGCTTGAGATTAAACAGCGTTTATATAGGCACTGATCATGAAAACAGGCATATACAGGCACTTATAGAAATTTAGGCACCGATGTCCTCTGTCAACATAGCGGAATACTAGAGCATTAATGAAAGGGTGGTAGGTATCGTAATTAAACTCGATAAAAGATACAAGATCAAGGTGGTACAGGCTTACGCGCTTACATCCAGCCATGATGACGCTTCAGTTGAAAGCTTCTATGAAAACGTGGAATTGGCAATGAGTAAGGTAAAAACACAGTATACTATACTGATGGGAGACTTTAATGCAAACGTAGGGAAAAAGCAGGCTGGAGACCAGGCAGTAGGAGATTATGGCATCGGTACTAAAAATTTTGAATACCTTCTACCGAAAACGAGGAAACCGTAAGTGGACATGAAAGAGCCCTAATGGCGAAAATCAGAACCAAATAGACTTTATAATGAGTGCACGCCCAGGCATCGTGTAGGATGTGGAAGTGGTAGGTAAGGTACGATGCAGTGGCCATGGAATGGTACGGTCTCGAATTCGTCTAGACTTGAAGAAAGAACAACAGAAACTGATACGCAAGAAGCCAATCAATGAGCGAGCACTGAGAGGGATAGTACAGGAATTCAGAGTCTCGCTTCAGAACAGGTGCCCGGCTCTTATTGAGAAAACCAACCTTAGCGTACATACAATGAATGATAATCTGACGAGTGTCATCACGGAGTGTGCAGTGGAAGTTGGAGGCACCGCAGTTAGACAGGACACTGGCAAGCTTTCCCAGAAAATGAAGAATCTCATTAAGAAGCAACAAAGCATGAAGGTCTCAAGTACAACAGACAAAATAGAGCTTGCAGAGCTTTCGAAGTTGATTAATAAGCGTAAGGTATCCGATGTAAGAAGGTACAACATGGAGAGAATCGAACACACTCTGAAAAACGGAGGAAGCGTCAAAGCAGTGAAAAGAAAACTTGGGATAGGCAAAAACCAGATGTATGCACTAATGGACAAGTTAGGCAAAGTAATTACAAATATGGATAGGATACTTAAAATAGCGGAGGAGTTTTACAGAGATCAGTACAGTAGCCGGGACAACTAGCAGTAACCCAGATGACACCCCACCAGCAATGATAGAAGAAGTCAGAAAAGCCTTGGGGAGCATGCAAAGAGGCAAAGCAGCTGGTGAGGATCAGGTAACATCAGATTTTGGAGCGTTATCAACCCTCAAAATTCCCAACCACTGGCACTGTTTGATAATCATAACCAGAGTCCTTCAATGCTTTTCTGGTCACGAAACTCCGCCGTCACTCTATGGGAGAGCTTCATACGCTGCCCAAAACTGCCGCGATGCGGCGCCACTGTGCCACAGAGGGCATCGTTCGGGCTGCTCGCGTACTGAAACAGACTGAAACGGACCGAAACGCGTGCGCACAGCGAGACAAACTGGCGGAAGAAGCGTGCGTGCGTGTCTGAGTTAGCCAAAATGTTGTGAGACGACGATGCCTAACACGTGTTGCGTGCCGGGGTGCCGTTCCGGCTACAGAGGAACGACCGAGAAGGTGTCGTTGTTTTCTTTTCCACCTGACAAGGACCAGCGCGAGAAATGGAAACGGGCCATACCGCGGCAGGAAAGTGGCGACTTCAACTTTGAGTCCAAATATACACGTGTGTGTGCGAAGCATTTCGACGCCTCGGACATTGTCACTACTTATGATTTCAATATCAACGGCGACGCCGTGTCCCTAGAGCGCGACAAGCCAACGCTGAAGGCTGACGCTGTCCCAAGTATTTTTGGTGGCCTTCCTTCGTATCTCACGAAGCGTAAACCTCAACCCCGCTCATCGACAAATCGATCACCGCGCAAACGAGCACGTGAGTCGTCGTGCGAGACGGAGGAGCAACGAGCATCGCCGACGACCTGTTCAGACCGCACCAATGCTGCATCAGTGAATGAAGGTATGTAAGCGCTAGGCCAGATTACATCCGTGTCGTCGTGTATGAGGGTATCGTCTGAGCCTGTAAATTTGAAACTGCATGACTTGTTTTTCTTCACTCCTTTTCTTCTTCCTTTTTTCTTTTTTTAGCAGATGTGGCACTGACCAGTGAAACGGTCGAAACCTACCACACGGACACAGCTTGTCAGACAGACCGCTTGGTTGACTGCGCCAGCTGTGCAGCAGTGCAAAAGTTGAGGTGCCAACTTCGAGCTGCGAAGCAGCAGCTTCGGCAATGCCAAACAAAACTCGCCGAGTTCCGAAAGAAGACTGCCAAGTACGAACGACAACAGCAGAGCCTTCAAAGACTTTCTGATCGCGAGAAACTGATTATTGATCAGTGCGTGATGAAGGCAAACGCGAAGTCTGCAAGAGCCGTACGGTAAGCTTCAAGCACTACTTAACGAATATGGTTTACGTGTAAAGGCGATGGAATATTCACGTGGTAATTTTAGATATTCATCAAATTAAAAGCTACATATCCGTTGTTTTCTGAGCAAGTGTCGGCTCCATTCAAAATGAGCTTAGCGTTCAAAACTACCATGAAATACGTTTTCTGCTTGAGTCCACCTTTACTGCGCTGACTCTAATACTTTAAATTATGAAACAATGATTTTCGTCCATATAAAAGATGTGCCCTTTTTACTACTACGAGTGGCTTATTCACACCCTCATAACCATGTTATCGTGATGTGTTGATCTTTTTTTCGCACCTTACTGCTATTGTTTTGAGCACGTTTATAAACAGACAGTGAATGATTGTTCTTATGCGCAGTTTCGTTGAAAACTTGGAGATCCAATGTGCACTTATTTTCTCTATTAATTGGTTCTGGATTGAGAATGCACCATAGATCTGTGTCATTTATAGTGGCCTGCTCTCATTATGAAGGTTTTGGCCTGCATGTTGATCAGGTTTCCACTGTGTACACAGTGCAATGTGCATGTTCACATTACCCCTTGGCATGCAGTTACACTTGGTTAACAGCAATGTGTCTTTATGCTTGATAGCATTATGGAAGCACTGTGCTAGCATGTTTGTGCATGTGAATGAGATTTGCACCCTTTCCTTACCAGGTATAAGAAAGACTGGTTATATGACTGCCTGCTTTTGAAAACGAAGTCCACATCTGTGTATACATATCTCCAAGAGAACAACTTTCTACCCTTGCCAAATCCACGCACACTCTACTGCTATATGAAGAGCTTGAAAGCCGATTTTGGCTTTGATGCGCATGTATTTACTGTGCTCAAGGAAAAGCTGCTCACTTCCCCTGAAAGTGAACGACGAGGTTTGAAAGCACATCACTTAACCTGAATGCTGTGTGGTTTTGCCTTTCTGAAGTGATAGAAATTAATTTTTTTTTTCTTTCAGGTGTGCTCATGTTCGACGAAATGAGTGTCAGGAAAATTTTGCACGTCCGAGAGTCTGACATGAAAGTCGTTGGTAAGGTTGACTTTAGAGAACATACCAGGCCAGCAGACCGTGAAAAGGATGCTGATCATGTTTTGGTCTTCCTGTTTTGACACTTTCTGGGGGGATGGTCGCAGACTGTGGGTACCTTTTGTGCATCAAGTGCTGCCCTGGGATCAATACTTGCAAAGCTTGTGCTTCAGTGCATTGTACACTTGTGTAATGCTGGCACAGTTATAGATGCTGTGACATGTGATAATTCAACTACCAATCGGTGTGCCTTGAGGTCCTTAGGTAAGTGTTTAACACACAAGCTCTGCTGCAGACTATCTGGAAAGGTATAATTTATTAGTTGCTCATTTCTTTCAGAAATTCGTGGTGACATGAAAGACCAGCAGGTGTCGTTTCAGCACCTATGCGACCCCTCTAAGGTGATCTATGCTATCATTGATCCACCACACATATTTAAATGTATTAGAAATAACCTGCAGAAAGTTGGGAAGTTTTTGGTAAGTGAAATAATTACTGTTCCTGTGATATAGTCACTCATATGATCTCATCTCAAGTGACATTCTGACATTCCTTCTTTCTACAGCTGCCTCAAGATCGGGAAGTGTATCATGGTCATTATGCAGCACTTCTAGAGTATGAAGAGCAACAGTCAGGGCTGCGTGCTGTACCAAAGCTGACGAGGGCACATATATACCCAAACGCTTTTCAGAAAATGAGCGTCAAACTTGCTGTTCAAGTAAGGCGCCCAACACTCAAGTGCACATAGAAAACAAAAAAAAATTGCCTTTTTGATGTGACTCACAGTGAAATGCAATACAAAAAATTTCTTTTCAGCTCTTCAGTGAATCCACAGCTACAGCCATGATATTTTACAGTGAGCAGGAATCATGCAAAAAGCTTCACGGGTCTGCGGAAACATCTGAATTCACCAGACAAATGAACAGATTCTTTGACTGCTTGAACTCCCGCAGGCCTGAACACTTGCAGTACAGTGAAGCTGAGCATGTTGACGTAAGAATTATTACTTTGCTCTTGCACACATTTCTGATCTCAGGCTGAATTCTTTCTTACTTTATAGACACTGAAAGAGGGAATCTCATGGTTGGACAGGTGCTGCAAATACATCGAAAGTCTGCCAAAGCAAAGGCAGGTGTGCTTTTTAAGCAAGCCCACCTGTGAGGCGCTGAGAATAACTTTGCTCAGCACAATATCACTGGTTGAAAACCTCCTTGCCTCAGGGTTTCGCTACGTACTGGTGGGAAAGTTTGGACAGGACCCATTAGAGGTAAGCATGTGCACGTTCTCGCTTGATAGTTAAATAGTAATTCTTATTTTTTCTTTCAGAGATTTTTTGGCATTATCAGGCACGTGGCTGGTGACGGAGGACAACCAACAGTCCAGCAATTTCTGTTCATTTATAGAATGCTCTCTGTCAGAAATCTTGTCCAGCCGCCTCAGCGAGCATCAGTTGTAGGAGACGGCCCACAACTCCTCCTGAGGCTCCAAGACCTATTCCAGAAGGAAAAACCTGCTGCCTGTCACGTGAGCAAGAATATATTAACAGGGGTTGAAAGGGTAGAAATCTGAGCCAGATGGTAAGAATTCGTCAGGGAAAACAAAATGAAAAAAAAGTGCAGGCAAGGAAGAACACAGTACAAACGCTTTGCGGAGCGATATCTCCTGAATAGGATGAAACTGATCAAAGCGTATTAGTTCTTCAACTAAGTTTTCAGGATAGTTTTTAGGCTGCATGCATTTAGGTGTGAATTTTCTCATTTCTAGCCACACTAAGCTGTATGAGCATTACATATGTGCCAGGGGACTGTGCAGTGCAGGCAGTATCAAAGATTTTGCAGCCATTAATTTGGAGAAGCCGAGCTGATTTCTGATAAAGCCTGGATTTCGTCATACAAAAGGTGTAAAGCAATACTAGGCATTCAGTACATCTTTTTCGTTCGGTGCACTTTCTATGTTCAGCACACCAGCAATACAGTGTTTGCATTTCAGGCGGACTGTTTGGCTATTCTCTTTGATGAAGTACTTTTGGAGCCAGGAGAAACTGTGGAGCAGGCTTCACTTTTGCAACATCAGCAGTCTCCTAAGGAGAAGATCTTGGGCTACCTCGCTGGATACGTTGCAAAGAAGTTTTCCTCGCTGAGATGCTCAAGCTGCGTAGAAAGCCTGAGGAGTTCAGAACGACCGGCAACTGGCCTGATTCTTGTTAAGTCTAAAGGTTTTCTCCTTGGGCCCTACAGCCAGCTCGCCACACTCCTTCAAATTGTGGAGGATCACATGGAAGCGCACGCAGTTGAAAAAACTGCTTGTTCTGGTGTGTACATGAATATTGTGGAGGATGTTTTGATGGACCCTCGGACTGCTTCAGCTGCTGTCGGTTGCAAGTCACATTTTGTGAGCACGACTGCAGAAGTTCAGTTTTTTCTCAAGGTGCGTTTGCATTTTTTTACAGAGAAAGAAACAAACAGATGCAAGCGAAAGGGTGCGCTTCATGTCCAGCAGGGGGTGGTAAAAAACCAAACACTCAAAGGTAACTCTGCACCCAATCCATATCTCACATATGTTGCTGTCCATTCTTCACGTTTTTTAATTAGCTTTTCATGAACTGGTGCACTGGTGTTCTGTGTATGTGGTTTGTTTTAAATAAAATTAATAAATGGTTGTGCTTGCATATTGCTTTCGCACAGGCACCTTGTATGTATTTTTCTTGTTGAATTATTTTTTTCCTTCTGACACTGACAACAATATTAGCATCGATTATTGGAATATCTTAACCCCTCGTATATAGTCGGCCATTAGAAGAATCAAAATAACTTCTTGTGTGTTTTTGTCGAAATCACGAGCGGCTTAAGTTACTGGTTTACTGTCTCTTCTATATGAGACTGCTTATAAAACAATGGCCTAATTACAATACACTGTCAACTGTGTTCGACCTTACTTTTCACGTTCGTCATGATCATAAACTAAACGTCGCACCGGTTGACTGATGGGGTTTTACGTCCCAAAACCAGCTGTGATTATGACAGACGCCCCGTGGTGGAGGGCTCCAGAACGAATTTGACCACTTTAACGTGTACCAAACTCCAAGTACACGGGCCTCAACATTTCGTCTCAACCAAAATGCAGCCGCCGCGGCCGGGATTAGATCTCGCAACCTTCGGATCTGTAGCCGGGTGCCATAACCGCTAGAACACCGTGGCGGGGCAACACGCCGCACCGAAGACTGCTATGAGGTTAGTATTGCTGGCATTTAATGACTCTGATATTACATATATTGTACCTAAGGCTCGTAGAGGGATTTAATCGTTCGGTCCAGAAATTTGAAGCGCATAGAACAGGTTTTTTTTTTTTCTTGTCATGAAAAGAAGGCATTCTACGGAAGCATTTCTTGCAGTAATGGTTTAATTGTTTGGGTTTTCTGTTGCGAATAAAATGACACCAGGAGTCTGATAATGTTCACAGTTTAATAGAAATTGAGCGGCCGTGCCGTGCGAACCATCTGGCCTTATGCGCAACTTTTCGCAGTCGAGAGATTTCGCTCACTTCCGGGCGAATGGACGTGTAACAACTCGTATGTTTGCCTCTGTTTACATGTGGCACAGCAAGTGCGTTATTGCGAATGTACAGTGTCTGATTTCAGGCAATTTTTGAAAAGCTGGACCAGTTGCAGTATTGCGACGAACGAGCGGCGCTCCCCCGACCCTGATGGCTGCATTTCGACGAGGCGAAACGCAAGAGCAGAAAAAAAGGCGTGCACTTTGATTTACATGCATATAAAAACAATCCCAGCTGTTAAACATTAATCAAGAATCCCCCACTACGACGTGTATCAAAATCATATCATCGTTATTGTGCGGCAAACCCCGAATTTTTTTGTCATTTTCGACTGCGACTGCCGCGAGCTGCTTGTCCAGAGCTGTTAGTTTCTTTTCTCCCGGGTGCTCATTTCAAGGCAGACGGCGCGTTCACGCAGTCACCGACGCACGCTGAATGTTCCAAGTAAATGAAGGAAAGTGAAACGACTTTTGCACAAGTTTAGAAAGCTTGGAAATCAAAGCAGACCAACACACTACCGCAGCGGTAGTGGACGGCAGCATGCCCTCACGAGCACAGCTGCGCCCCTAGCGGCCAGTGCTGGCTCCATATGAAGCTGAGGCGGCACTTTCGTGACCAGAAAAGCATTGAAGGACTCTGTCATAACCTTCCGATCCCCGACGATGAAGCCGCCAAACAACTTAATCATTTTTTCTCTTCCATGTTCACTATCACTATCGAACCTAACGGCAACTTACCTTCATTCCATCCTCGTGATTACGACATGATGCCGGACATCAGGTTTTCTCAACAGGGCATTGCTAAATTAATCGACTCATTAAAGCTTACATCTTCTTGTGGCGCTGATGGCATCAACGCTAAAATGTTAAAAAACACACAACCCATTGTCAGTGTGATAATATGCCATATTTTTCAGCAATCACTGTCTTCAGGAGTGGTGCCGGAAGACTGGAAAGTGGGTAAGATTGTACCAGTCCCTAAAGAAGGGCCCTCTATCCCAGCATAGCAGCTATCGTCCCACCTCGCTCACTAGCATTTGCTCTAAACTAATGAAACATGTGATCTACTCTAACACCGTCAAGTTCTTAAACCGCCACAACTTCTTTCCTCATAGTCAACATGGGTTTCGCTCAGGATTATCCAGCGACACACAACTTGCTTCATTCTACAATGACATCAGTTCCAGCGTTGACCTAAATATACCCACCGATGCCCTCTTTTTAGACTTTGAAAAAGCATTTGACAAAGTTCCGCATCAACGGCTACTCCTCAAGCTTTCTTCCTTAAACATTAATACATCGACGTTCAACTGGATTCGTAGTTTTCAGACTAATCGGCAACAATTTGTGTACGCTAACAACCATTCATCTAACCATCTTCCCGTAATCTCTGGCGTCCCACAGGGCACAGTACTCGGACCCCTACTTTTCTTAATTTATATAAATGACCTCCTAGCTAACATTTCATCAAATATTCGCCTGTTTGCAGATGATTGCGTCATGTACCGTCCAATAAAAAACCCTACCGATATTGCTATACTTCAAAACGACCTTAACCTCATTGAATCCTGGTGTAACGACTGGCTAATGTCTTTAAACGTAAATAAGACCGCTAATATTCTTTCACCGTAAGCAACATTATCAGCAAGCGACTTACACCATTTTGGGCTCTACAATCTTAACAGCAGAATCCTATAAATACCTCGGCGTAACATTCTCAAGCAACCTCACCTGGTCCACTCACGTTAACAACGTAGCATCCTCCGCTAATCGTGCGCTGGGTTTTCTTCGTAGGAATTTAAAACTTGCTCCCTCATCAGTGAAGTTGTTAGCTTACACCACATTTGTTCGCCCTAAATTGGAGTACGCATGCTCTGTTAAGGACCCTCATCAATCTAATCTATCTAACCTTCTCGAATCTGTACAAAATTGCGCAGCCCGGTTCATCTACTCTGTGTACTCTTATCATTCCAGCGTTTCCGAACTTAAAACTCATGGCCACCTCAACAACCTAGAATCACGTCGTCATATATGTCGGCTCTGTCTTTTTCACAAATTTTATCACGCTCCTTTCAACGTTCCAGCCATCTTGCCTGCTCATCGATTATCCAGCCGTACAAACCATCCCCGAGCCGTTTATCCACCGCCAGCACAAACTACTGCCCACCTTCGCTCCTTTTTTGTTGCAACCGCCCGGGACTGGAACAACTTGCCTGCCTTCCCCATGCACCACCCCGACCCACATGTATTCAAGACTGTGATTGAATCGTTAATATGTTGCCAATTATGCCCATCCCTCATGTAATACCCCGACTGGGGCCTTTGAGGTATACTAAATAAATTAATAAATAAAATCTTCTGAAAGATGGAGGACAGATTGTGTTGTAAAAACTAGCCACCCTGTTTACGAGGTGTCTCCTGACGGGAAGAGTACCAGAGTCTTGGAAGAGCGCTAATATCATCTTAATACATATGAAAGGAGATGACAAGTACTTAAGAATTACAGGCCAATCAGCTTGCTCTCCGTAGTATACAAGTTATTTACAAAGGTAATTGCTAACAAAGTTAAGAAAACATTAGAATTCAATCAACCAAAGGAACAAGCAAGATTTCGTACAGGCTACTCAACAATCGACCACATTCATACTATCAATCAAGAGATGGAAAAATGTTCAGAATACACCCAACCACTACGCATAGCCTTCATAGATTATGAGAAGGCGTTTGATTCAGTAGAGATATTAGCAGACATCCAGAGAATGCAGAATCAGGGCGTCGATGAAGCATATATAAACATCCTGGCATCTGGAAGAAATCTGCAGGAGACCAACTGCTACCATAGTGCTTCATAAAGAAAGCAACAGATTACCAATCAAGAAGGGTGTAAAGCAGGGGGATACGATCTCCCCAACGCTATTTACCTTACAGGAGGTTTTCAGAAGACTAGAATGGGAATAGTTAGGGATAAGAGTTAATGGAGAGTACCTTAGTAACCTGCGCTTCGCCGATGACATTGCTTTACTGAGTAACTCGGGGGACGAATTGCAACTCATGATTACAGAGTTAGACAAGGAAAGCAGAAAGGTGGGTCTTAAAATTAATCTACAGAAAACCAAAGTAATGTACAGCAACCTCGGAAGAGAGCAGCCAACCTCAAGTTGTAAAAGACCATGTCTACTTAGGGCAGGTAATAACCGCGGAGCCGAACTACGAGATTGAAGTAACTAGAAGAATAAGAATGGGGTGGAGCACATTTGGCAAGCACTCTCAAGATATGACAGGTAGATTGCCACTATCCCTCAAGAGGAAGGTATATAACAGCTGTATCTTGCCGGTACTTAGCTACGGAGCAGAAACCTGGAGACATACAAAGAGGGTGCAGTAGACGTAGTCAGGCTGATGATGATGATGATGTCCAAAATAAGCATTTATAGGCACTATAAAAACACTATAAAAGCTTTTCTTGGCCTCTTATTCATGCTCATATGTCAAAATGGCACGATAGGCATGCAAGAAACGAAATAGGCATTTGCCTATAATCCGGTCTCTAGTTATTAGTGCAGAAAGTTTGCGGGCAGTTTCATCATGCCGCACCAGCACGCACCAGCTACTTCAAGCGAGGCAGCAGCGTCCCCTCAACCCCTCCCTTCAAAATGAAGCAATAAATGCTGCGCCGCATGTTCAATTTTATAAAATTTTTTAACCGACAGCTATTGACCAAGCAAAGCAAGAGGCGGACGTGAAACAAGGCGTAGCCACTTCGCAGGCATTCCACCACCAGAGCCGCCAGTGATGTCCTCACTATAGCTGCGCGTATTAAAACCGAATTGCGGCTAGTCCGACCAGGACGCTTGCTTTAAAAAATGAGATGACATTTAAAAAGAAAGCGTGCGAGAATTTTATTCGAACCCTATAGCAACCTCGAGCTCGAAAGGGCAGGGTCTTTTAGGGGCTTTTACCGCCACAGCAGTTATAAACGCGGATATGGTGGTGGAAAGAATTATGAAACAGCTATTCTGTAGATGAATAATGTATATTAGAGGAAAAGTGTCAATGTGTTCTGACCATTTACGTGTTATTCTGCAGACGCGAGGCATAAAAATTTGATCATGATGTGCAGACATAGACGTGACAGACATACTGGCGG